TGGGGCTGAGGTGTGCGAGATAGTAGGGTGCCTGTTGCTCCATAGGCTTAATGAATATATAGACTTTAATAACCATGAGTTGTACCGCGACGACGGTTTAATCATAGTGGACAATAGTAACCCTCAAAAATGTGAGAATATCCGTAAAAAACTGCACTGGTTTTTTGTGGCACCATGCATAGTTAGCGAGCTGAAAAGAAATATTCATAAATATATGATTTGTTTTTTACGGTTTGTCAACCATTTGATAATTATTTAGGGCTGAAAAATATTTCGGGGTTAGGAATAATTCTTTCTTTACATTCAAGCGATCTGGGAGAAAGAAAGAGAAGAGAGAAGAAAAAGAAAAAAATAAATAATACGAAAACAGGTCATAAGCGAGCACACACACGCTCGGCTGACACATAACAGATGTCGAAAGATATCCAGGTCAAGCACCTGACCTACTTCCGTGTCCACGAGAAATGGAAGTTTGTTATCAAGTGGTTGAAGAAACGAAGTTTAGGGACAATGAAAAATATGATAGGTAACAGGTGGGAAGTGTATCTAAGGATATGAAGACAAACCATTAATACGAAAACAGAGACAATTTCCAGAATTGGAAAAAGCGACACAAGATGATGTTCGCTGAAAATGTTTTTTGAGATAATGAAAATTTTATTATCGGGCCTTGGCCGGGAAAAAAGTGAAATATTTTTATTCGTTCACGGAAACGCCAACAGGTCTGAGAAATCCCTTTCTTAGGTCATATCCAATTAGCGATAAACTGCTTGACAAATATCACGTGTTAAAAAGCTGAGAGCGTCATCTCGGTCGTTCATGATAACGGCGATTTAAATTTTTTTTTTTTTTTTAAGCAAGGTGTTTCTTCCCCCAGAACAAAGCCACGGATTGTCCACACCCGACTAAAGACGTCATTGGCTAAATAAGATCACATGACACACGAAGAAGGGGAAAGATACCCGACCAGGACCTCATTGGCCAAGAGCGGTCACGTGACGCACGAGGAGAATCGGTCGACGCCCTTGTCAGAAGTGTAAGTGTGAGGGGTCGATACGAAGAAGCGGGGAAGTTGGTATACGCCCCTCAGAGGCACAGTAAGGAAGTAGGAGTGAAAGTGAATTACCGAAAATGGAAAATCCCTAACCAGAAATAAGAAGGGTGGATACGTATTTAGAATAAAAAAAAACCCTGGCGCCGACAGACCCACTCCACTTTTGACTGCGTCAATAAAAGCGGGACCCCAACCGACAGAAATCAGAGTTTGCGCCGCGGACGGCGAGGGAGTTTGAGCGCGGACGGCGGACCCGGTTCATTCGCCCCTTTGCGGGCAAGAGAGGCCAGTTCGTTTGGCCTAAGTGAAGAAGTTCGTCCAACCGAAGCCGAAGAGAAGAAGTTAATTCGCGCACTGACGGCGGAGATGAGTGACCAGTAATTCAGACTCTGAAGAGTTTGAGTTGGAGTTTGAGCCGTGGACGACAAGCAGAGATGAGCGCCCAGTGTTGAAACCACGTCAAGATAGCTAACCAAGATTCACGCACACTTCTGGATTCTTCTTCAACCAAGAACAAGTAGTTTGAAGAGCGACTTAGAATCAGACCACAGAAATAAGTTTTTTTCGACTTTCGTCCAGGGACACGCCGAAACACAAATTTCTTAGAGAGCAGACAACTGGAAGCCTTAAAGTTGCCTAGTAAAAGCGTCGTGCCACAATCCACAGAACGGGTCGGGAGGTAGACATAGTCCTTTGTACCGAGCAAATAGACATAAAAAGTTTGCTACCTTTTTCTTGATACGTTGGACCTTGTGAATTTTTATTTATTTTTTTTTTATACATAATTGTGTGTTATCACCCCGTTAGACTCAACTTGCATTACGGCCCCAAGCCCTGTTTGATCTCGTCTGTCTAAGATCAAGTCACAACGTGGGTAGGCAGACCGGAGATCAGTGCAGTTACCCTGGTAACCAGGCGTTGGAAGCGGGTTGAGAACGACGAGGCTGGTATCAATCTAACCAAAGGGTTAGAACGTCACGTTTGGAGCAGCGAGGAGCGAACAGCTGACGCCGCGACAAAAGACGTCACAACTGGTGCTGTCCGTGACCAGGATATCAGAGCCTGGGGAGCACGTGACGTCACAATTGGCGCCGCGACCGGGATCGAACGACATAGTGGACGCTGCGACCGGGGGACGACGTCACATTTTTAAAAAAATTCGGATTCTATCTCGATATAGAAACTAATTTGAAAATTACCAACTATCTAGATATTACGTTGAATTTACAAAATGGCACAATATCCCCGTATAAAAAAGAAAACCAAGAACCCCAGTATTTACACATAAAATCTAATCACCCAGCCCATATCATAAGGCATATTCCTAAAAATATTGGGTATAGACTTTCTACTAATTCCTCCAATAGGGACATTTTTGAGGCCAACAAAATAAGTTATGAGGAAGCCCTAATTAAGAGTGGACATAAAAATAAATTAGAATATATTAATATAAATAACCACAACATTACTCGGAATAAACGTAATAGGCAAAGAAAAATTTTGTGGTTCAATCCTCCTTTTAATTTAGTAGTAAAAACTAAAATTGGTAAGATATTTTTTAATTTATTGGAGCAACATTTCCCCCCAAAAAACTGAGTTACATAAAATATTCAACAAAAACAATGTAAAACGTAGTTATTGTGGCATGCCTAATGTAGGGACCTTAATAAAAGGATTGAATAAGAAAAAAACTAGGAATAATCCACGCAGTAATCCTCCTACTTGTAATTGTAGAAACAAAAACATATGTCCATTACAGGGAAAATGTCAGCAAGAATGCATGGTTTATCATGTGAAAATTTACAAAAATAGTGAGGATACTAACCCTAAAACATACATAGGTGCTACTCAGGATAAATTTAAAAAAAGATATTATAACCACACGAGTAGTTTTAAAAACGCAAAAATTAAACATAGTACCACGCTATCTACTTATGTATGGAAACCAAACAGGAAGATAATATAGACCCAATTTTAAATGGGGAAATATTTAAAAATGCCCCAAATATAAAGCAGGCCATAAGTTTTGTAAATTATGTGCAGAGGAAAAATTAGCCATAGCTTTATATGATCAACCTAACCAGCTATTAAACTCTAAAACTGAAATCCTAAACGTATGTAGACATAAAAAATCTTGGCTACTAAATAAGACAGTTTCCCGTTATTGACATTCCACCTTAATGTTCGTGTGTTTTTTTTCCCTCCCCATTTTCGTTGAATAAATATTTTACCCCCCCCCCCCAACTTAGGTTGTGTTTGTGGTTTTTTAGTCACGTGGTATGATTTTAGCTATCGTCTATAAATATGTGTTTCTCTTTGCCTCGTTCGCTTGACTTTCCCTGACGATCCGTTTAGGTGAAACCTAGGTAGGTTTGTCTGGCTCACTAGGTGTATCTAGGTCTGCTCTACGGTTGTGTTGACCTCTTTTGTTAGTTAGTTGTTACTCGTATCGGGGTTTTTTCTTTGGGCTTCAGACCTGCATCTAAAAGTGCGATTTTTTTGTCGGCAGAAGTTCATGTTTGTAGCTCTTTTTTTTTTAAAACCTTTTTTTTCCTCGAGATTGATTTGATTATTAGCAAATCAAAATTCGAGCGTTTTTCGAAACGAGTCTAGTTATCTATATTTATATGTATATATATATATATATATATATATATATATATATATATGTATATATATATATATATATATATATATATGTATGTATATATATATATATATATATATATATATATATATATATATGTGTGTGTGTGTGCTTGTGTTTATGTGTGTATATTGTATATATATGCATACATGATTATATATATACGGTATGTTTTATATATACACTAGAGTATATATTTATTTATGCCATATATACATGTTTATAGAATTTACATTATGATCATAACTACAAAAAAAATAATCCCTTCCCATCTACGGACAATCGGCTTTTTACGGACCCCCTCCACCTTATGAGGTTTTTGTATATATATATATATATATATATATATATATATATATATATATATATATATATATATGATATATGTGTGTGTGTATGTCTATATTTCTGAGTTGAGGTATTATGTACATTATTTACATTATTCGGACTATTGTCCTAACCTTTGTCGCCATATTTATTACAAAGATTTGGCGTTTGTACGCTCCGACCTTCTTCAGATATTTGCAATGTCGAACTGAACCATTTATTTCGCTCACTGGGGTAGACTGTTCTAGTTCCTCAAGGACACATGGCACAGTGGATAAAGGCGTTAGTTAGATTCAGTGACAGGACCCAAAGAGTGTGAGTTCAATACCCGGTTAAGGGAGTGGAGAACATTTTGAGGAAAATTAACAGGCGATAACTGATAACTGACATCCATTAAACATGGCACGTGGATCTAGAACAGTCTACCCCAGTGAGCGAAATAAAGGGTTCAGTTCGACATTCCAACCACCTGAAGAAGGCCGGAGCGTACAACTGCCGAAACGTTGTAATAAATATGGCAATAGTCCGAATAATATATATATATATATATATATATATAATGTGAAGTATGTGTTATTGGTTCATCCCTTATTAAGCTTTTATTATCGCTGTTACAAGGATTTATAATGGCTAAAATAACAGCAATTCCACTTAGAAATGAATCCATGCCAGTTCTTGTTCGAATGGTGGAATTTGGCGGGTGGTCTAGGGGCGTCGTTCGCTTGACTGCTGATAAATATCTACCGCTTTTCTCGGGGTGCTTTTCTGTTCAAAGACGCGATCCATTTCTTTCCTCGTTTCTGTTCCCTTTTATTGACTGTCCAATTTTCCTTCTCGATTGTCCGGCCGGGTGACGCCGCAGACATTTCTTCTGATGTAAATAAGATTCGGCTTAAACGATGCCCATTGAAAACATGTTAAATAAAGATCCAGCTAGTATAAATGAGAATATCAGGATAGAATGTAAGGGCGCATACGGCACGTAGTATTCCTAAACGGTCACCCATTTATGTACTGGCCAGGAACGAGGTTGCTTAACTTCGGTGATCGTCTGGGAAACGGTGTTTCAACGTGATGCGACCGTAAGTCAGAATATCGAGAATTGTTTCTTTATTTTCTTATATGTGAATTTAATTATAGATTTGAAATCTTGTAATTTAATTCACAGACACACACACAGTGATATAGACACCAATGGCTCTAATATATATATAATATATATATATATATATATATATATATATATATATATATATATATATATATATATATATATATATATATATATATATATATATATATATATATATATATATATATATATATATATATATATATATATATATATATATATATATATATATATATATATATATATATATATATATATATATATATATATATATCTAAAATATCTAAAGGGAGGAAAGTAGAATTCCAGTAATTCATCCACTGAAGAGATTTTCAACCTTAAAGAAGGTGTATATGAAAGCATAGTGAATGGAAGGCCGTAATACTGGCTTGTCTTTTTCATCCCACGTCCGTCCTAACCGCACAAACAGTGATTTGGTTTAACCCCCCACCATTCAACGTGCAATTGAAAACCAAAATCGGAAAAGTATTTTTTAATATTTTAGATTGGCATTTCCCTAGAAATTCTCTCCTAGCTAAGGTGTTTAATAGAATTCAACTACAGTTTCACAAGTAAACATTATAAAAAGACACAACTCCAGACTATTACAAGCTGAAAGATTTGGGGAGGTAAAAAAATCAAACTATGCAACTGCAGAGACTGTAATAATTCTCCTTTGGACGGTGGTTGTCTGATAGAAGGTGTGGTTTACTCAGCGGAAGTCAGTGACGGCAAAAACTTTAATAAAATATACATTGGTTCCACAGAGGGCCCATTCAAGAAGAAATATTACAATCATACTACCTCTTTTAGGTTCGAGAACCATAGAAATGATACAAAATTGGTAAATTGTGTTTGGCGGTTAAAAGAAGTTAATGGTAGATTTCCACACATAAAGTGGAAAATCATCAAAGAAATAGAGTTGGTCAAAGTCCGAGGAAACTTCTGTGCTACCGGCGAGGAATATATATATATAGACAGACACACACATATATATTAAGACATTTTTATGTTTATACGTTCTTTTTATAGATATAAATATTTAAGAAAATCCTCTGTTTTATAATAAACAGTATTAATGACATTTACCGCCTTGAATGTCAGAGAACCTTTCATAGAAAATATGTGTCCTCCGACAGGTATCGAACTTTATATAGCCGTTATATAGCCTCGTGGTTAGAAGTTTCAGGTGGTTTCGATCGCTTAAGGTACACATGCCTTAAGCGATCGAGCCACGGAGGATCGTTCGATTATCAAAGTCGATTGTACTGCTTTTAAACTTCAATCTTCCATGAATTTCTCACGTATATTCATACCTTAAGGAAAGCGTATCCAAATATAAACAAATGACGTCACATTATGAAATGGACAAAGTCCGACAATTATTTTTAAGACATATATATATATATATATATATATATATATATATATATATATATATATATATATATATATATATATATATATATAAATGGCTAACCTTATAGCCAACAGTAATAACTTGTTGAGAAATTTTAGATTTTAATAGCACAACATCATGAAATCAAATTGGAATTTTTCGACTTTCTACCATCCAGGATTTTTTTTTAAATAAAATAATTGTTCTTACAAAAATAAATCGGTTAAGCAACGTCGAGCCTGGTCAGTACCTAAATGGGTGAGCGTTTGGGAATATCAAGTGCTGTAAGCTTGGATGTGCGAATGGTCTGACGGTCACATCACGTCAAAACACCGGGTTCCATACGATCAGTGAAGTAAAGTCTACCAAGGTCAATACCTTAGATGATTGACTGCTAGGTATATATAGGGTTGTGTAATGGATAATGGCTCAGAATCACTATTTATACTATTCGGACTATTGTCCTCATCTTTGTCGCCATATTTATTACAACGTTTCGGCCGTTGTACGCTTCGGCCTTCTTCGGAATCAGTTACGCGCAAATACACTTTAAAAACCAGTAGTAGGGTAAGTTTCATTGTTGGAAGTGTTAGCTGATGATCCGAAATCTTTTAAAAAGGATTTTGGTGAAATATATTATTGTAATGGTACCTTAAAGTGGTCTGTTTTTCATTATTATATATATATATATATATATATATATAATACACGAAGACGTCTTCCATACTGACTGCGGCAGAGAGGATGGTTACTCTCAATCTCGCGAAACCGGATGGTTCCCTGCCCCATTATTAATGGTCATTTATAGTTTGGAGTCTTGTTCCAATAACAAGATCCAGGCAGGACAATTGAAATCTGTCTTTGCCGCATGCAATTCGTCTATTCTTATGGGAAGTCACAAGCGGGGTGATTAATGCTTGTATCTTATTACAGTGCTCTGTCGTCTATTAAGGCTTAGAGTACAAGATGTCCTCTCTTGTCATTTACCTAAACAGGCATAACACTGTGGAAGTTGGGTTGTCTTCTTGCCTATGGCTTAATACGTTGGCACTGTGGAGTAATGGATAGTGGCTAGGATCGAGATCAAATTCCAGTCGGATCCATTACCTTCACTTAGGTGCTATTACTCTTGGGAAAGGTATGAATACTCTTCTGTCCACCAGTTATGGTCAGTAGCAGGACAGATTGAGTCTAGGAGAAGGTAACTCTGAATTTAAAAACCGGCCTGGTGAGGGTTGGGATTCGTCAGGTTATCTTGCGGTAGTAGTACATTTGCTGTCTCTACGATCCTGTCATGGCACGGGCTTCACGACCGCCATTAATATGTTGCTTAATTTCTCAAAAATCAAAATTTATATCTGATGACATACTGCACATTTGTTTGTATCTCTTATTGACGGTAATACATTCTGTTTTCTTATAGTGACTAATTAGACCTTTCTTCTCGCATTCCTTTGTTCCCTTCCATAGGCGTTTTGGAATTTTCCTACTAAATCCGCTAACAACTCAGTGTCACTCTCTAATGTTATCATGGTTATGGCAATAATAACCGTTTCCTTATAAGGGAAAAATTCAGTGAGCACTGCTACTAATGGTTTAACTGTTAAAATGGGATTTTCTTTAATAAAAACGCTGAAAACTTTTGAACCCATCATTATCATTTGATAAATATTGTTGACTATATATTGGTTTTGGTAATATTAGTCATTTCCTTAAAAGAAAATATTCGGCAAGATATTAATTAATATACCCTCGAGATATTTTCTTCGTAATAGGATATATCTTTTTTTTTTTTTTTAGTGTCATTTCTTTTTTAAATCAATGTTATGGACTGTATTTCTGAAATACTTTCTGTTAAAATTCCTAAAATCTTTCTTGTTAAACAATTTTTCAGGAAAATAAGTAACTCATGTCCACTAACTTTTATCGCTCTTTTCAGTACTGATGGTGGCTTCCTTCCCAAACCTTTATTCGATGCAATGTCTAACGTCAGCGGCTTTGTTATATTTTTATTTTCTCTTCGGTTTACATGTGCTATTCATTTTAGCTGTTGCTGCTGTTGGAAGTCCTCAAATGATGCTGTTTCTGTCATTTGGTTCTGTACTTTGTGATTCTGTAGCGCCAGTCTACGAGGTTCGAATAATGATATTCATCTCTATCACCTACAGGAATCATCTGCTCAAAGCCATTTTTATGGCTGTCGATATTAAATATTGGTCGACTGAAATAAACAACGCCCTTCATTTCTTCTATATTCTATTAATCCGAAACCAAAATAAACTAGATTCCAAAGTCTACCGTAAACCTTCTAACAAAAACAACTTAATCAATTTCTATTCCCATCACAACCAAAATACTAAATCAGGATTAATGATAGACTTCTACCTAAGAGGCCTCATAAGAAGATGTCCGGTACACTTAGACAGAGAAGTAAATATATTGAAAATACATTTATTATCATACGGTACTATCAACAAGACTCAAAAAATATTTAACTCTCTTCGACAATAAGATAATAACCATTACCTCCACGACGATAAAGGATCTGATTAGCAGAATAATAACCCCCTCCCCCCCAAATCGAATAAAATTAAATAGTTGCAATGATATAAGAGCTAAAAAGGCAAAAATTGAAGAACCTGATAAGCCCGCATCTATAAATATAAGAGAGATCTCTGTTCGGATAACCCACTAAACTCTTTAGCAACATGGAAAAAAAATACAGTCCATAACATCGATTTAAAAAAATGGCATTAAAAAAAAGAAGATACATCCTATTACGAAGAAAATATCTCGAGGGTATATTAATTAATATCTTCTATCGATAAACAGACGCCAGGCGCACTTGTTCAAATCTCCAGCACTCATAAAACCCATACTTAAAGAATGCAAAACCCAGATACCATCTGAGGTTATAATCTAAGTTTTTCATACATTCACTTCCAATATACGTCATTGCTCACCACACGAGAGAAAAACGCCTTTCACCAACACACAAAATATCTCCTGATACAATCGAAAGTCATACGTAATGAAATAGCATTAATAATATTATTAATATAATTAAAGCAAGACACCAATATATGTCAAAATTTCCCGATACGCACGATCTTTCTTCAACAAAACAATTTGCTCCAAAATAGATAGCGTACATCTAACGCACAGTTTCCTTATAGGGAAAAGGCTAATGTTGCCATTACCGTCGGCACAAACACTAATATTATCAACTCCATTATAAACAACTAAGATTTTTCCCGCTACTATATTCAAGAATTAAACACACGGACACACAAGCAGAGATAGAATCCAACCTTCTAGAATTCAAAGGCGAGCGTGCGCACACGTACCACTTACACATCGCAAGGCATGAACACATGAACTCTATCTGACCAATGAAAAACAAACAACACAGAATTCAAAGTACGAAACATTTTCTTTCATAACTCATTTCCCACAAAATTCTGATGAATAAATGTTCAATTTATAAACCTTTTCCAATTTGATTCTATATATATATATATATATATATATATATATATATATATATATATAT